CCTTTCTGGTGTGTTAATTTTTTTTCCCTTGGGGTTGTTGTCCAGTGTTGTTTTTCTTGTTCTTTGTGTTTATATAGTGTAATATCATTTAATTTGATGTTCCTACCTTTATTTTTATGTGTTATGTTGGATCGTGTGCCCATCAAAACCGAATATCGACACTGGCAGGCCCCTTGTGTATGATTCCATAAATTACATGTAATATCCTGTGCTTTCTTGAATTACGCACGCTTTTTGGGTTCAAATGGCAATCTTTGGATAGGTTGACACACGTCCTATTTGTTACTTTTTGTGGTTGTTTTATGTGCCGTTCTAATTTTGATTTCATTCTGTTGTGAAACTTTTTTTATTTTTCACCTTTTTACACTCTGTGGCTACAAATGATATTCTGGTTGCTTCAGCTAAAACAGAGCACAAGAAATTCTGGTGATTTAGAGTAAGTTTCCTCTATCAACATATTGCTATACACGTCGTCACAGAGGGTTGAAAGCTTGAAATTAATGACAACTTTTATGGCAACCTTTGCCATTTTTGTGGCAACTTTTGGACCAGAAAAATGGCAACAAAAGTAGATGCAAGGTATACTGTAGTGTACAGCATGTCAACCTTCTATTCAAAGTAACATATGGTTGCTACAATGTTTTATAACCCAAAACTAATAACATAGCCCTGTTTTGTGATCCTAAAAGATCATCCCTTGGTTATAAAAACAGAAAATTTATAGATTTATGGTGTTTTTTAAGCTTTGGAAACATGTGGAACATGTAGTATAATGGCCTAACATTATTTCTAGCCCAAAATCGATTTTTCAAGCCAAAAACACCAAAAAAATGTATTAGTGCTTGCCTTACATGCAAAAAAAATAATTTTAATTGCAATGATGAAATTTAAAATGTTGCCGAAATTCTGAAGTCTGCAAAAACACAAGATGGATGTTACATTACTATTACACATTCCAAACTAATCATCCGACACCCCTAATTCACCTATCGTGAAGAAACAAAAGAATGCACAATATCATTGATCAATGTTGCTCGTCTTTCTAAGTGAGTCATATTTCATTTCCCCTACTTTTGTTTTAAATGATAAGGAAAACCAGCATCATTCATCGTGAAATACTGCAACATTTTCATTATTGATAATGACATAAAGAAGTACTCAACATCCAATTAAAAATGTGGTGCCTGACGACAAACTACTTGAGCCACAAATCCACACATTTTCATTTCATAACTTCATGAAAAGAGTCCTCTTATTTTAAAAAAGTGTCTGTGTGTGTGTGTTGTCAAACCTGCCGTCATGGCACCGAGTTTCCATTCCTCCCATTTTAAAAAAAAAAAATTTCATTGTGTAAAACGGTCACCTCTCCAACACAGCCGCGGCCACCATATTTTATCTACCAACAACCAAAAATACTCTAACTCTCTAAGATGGCTACGCGCGCGGACACTTCGTCATTAATGTTTTGCCTCCTGGCGCAGTGGACGAGCCATCATAATCCATTCATTATCTTAGTCCGTCCAATAAACTATCATGGTGAGTAGGTCACTGTTTACCCAAGTTGACCAATCGGCAACAATAAATTTTCAGCTGCTGGAGAGGGAAGAATGTGATCTGCTATAACCAAGGATGCCAAATGATTTTTTTTTTTTGGGGGGGGGGGGGATGAGCGGAGCATCACACCTCACCTAAAACAAACCTTGTAAAATCTTTAAAAGAGCAAACAAAAACATTTCTCTTTCCATTCCCCTTTCCTTTGCAAGTGTATGAAAAAAACGGAAAAGGCCGGAAAAACCGTATATTTGGCATCCCCGTATAAACCTATAAGTCCTGTCAACAACTCTGGACATCAACATTAACTTGCAACAGAAGTGCCGTTCTTTCTCCGAGTGGTAGCAACTATGGCACTCGGTCTTCCCCGTCTTGACACATTTCGTTTTATTTTACCCTTGCACTTGCACAAAATTAGCAACAACCACCCCCAGCTTTTTTTCAGCATCAACCCCCAAAACCTATTTTAATTAACCTTACAGTAGTCGTAAGCCTTCGGCCACCTCCGGTTGGGACCTCAGAAGGGAATTGTTTGTTTTCTTTACCTTGATCAGTCTTGCCCAAGATGCCCACCTGCCTTCTTTTTTTCTTTTTTCTTTTTTGCGCCAGAAGATTAGAGGTGTTACAAGAGAGTAACAAACATAAAACGAAGCAGGGGAGATAAGGATAACAGATGTTTGATAGGAAACAAGAAGCAAACAACACCAGAGCACTCGCCAACCACCCTCACACACCTGTCTTATTCAGCAACTTTTTTCCTTGACAATGGGTCTGTCGGTCGCTCTCCCTCACTCACTCACTCACTCACTCTCACACACACACACACACATCCATTGTTGAGGAGAAAAGTGGCTGATTGAGTAGGTGTTTTACGGCACTATCGACTCAATTTTGGTCAGGTAAGTGCAAACAAGTGGGGGGGGGGGGGGGGTGTCAACAAATCTGGCGCTCGCAACTGCATAAGGTCATATGAGCCCATGAAATAAGTTGGGGGGTTTTTCTCAACTGTTCACTGCACTGCCTGATTTTGGTCAATATTTCTAATAAAAATAGTTAAAATGCTAAATGTTGAGTGTAAATAGATTTTAAATTTAAAACATGTTTCTAAATACCATAAAAATTTCAAACACTTCATTTTACAATTTTCCATACAGTTACGGCCAAAGGCCTTCATAAAATCCTAAATTCTGTTGGGATCAACGACAGAAAACAGATCTTGCAATTTTTAGCATTTAAAATATTTCCTTCGGGTCTCTTTGAAGTCTAGACATTCGGTTAAGGGGATCCACTGGTCAGATCAGTACAAATTTTGAAAAAATATCAGTTTTCGGATTTTGGAGTATCTTAATAGATATCAATATCAAGGATCGATCTTAAGAAGCCTACATCCTTTATCAAACTTATAAATAGCTGGAAAACGCATTTGAGAGAGGTAGCAATGTAGGAAAATCTTCACCAAAAATTATCTCTTTGCAGTTTTCTCAGAATTGTTTATCTGACCAGGTAGCAACACTATCTTGAGTAGATCTCAGAAAATGACTGTCAGAATTGTTTCAAATTTGCACACAATCTTTTATACACATTTCTCTATAACCTTACAGGGGCATTTTTACTGTTTATGGAACACATTTTGAGTTTTAGGCCTTTTTATTTTACAAAATTTAAAAATATTGGAGACATGAATGTAGTGCATAACAAAGACTGTAAAGCTCACAAGTTAGTACAGAAAATTCATATTTGGCCCTGTAAGGTTATTCCACCTACCAACAGTAATCGGCATGCCAAATATTAGGTTTCTATCTTCAGCGCTTTCCACCAGCTGAAGCTGAAAAGTAAGGAAAATTCTGCTGGGGGTCTGGGGGCCTCTGCGGCCCCCAGCAGGGTCCAGGGACAGAGTCCCGGTGGGGGGTCAGGGGGCGAAGCCCCCGAAGAAATTGAAATTTAGTACTTTTAGAGGGTTGAAAATGGCATCTGGGAGCCTGTTTGAAGAGATTGCCAACAACCCATACTACCTATTTTTTCACCCAGATTTTGTCTTGTTTAATTTCTTCACCAATATATCTTTCCATTGCTGGCAATGTTTAAAAGCAGGTTCCCCTTCCGTTGCTACTATAATTCAATTAATTTGTCATCGCACCTTTGATACTGATAGAAGGCAAACCTGGGAATAACGAATAGATATATGTAGGCCGTACCTTCACAATACAGTTACCAGACCTGCCACTCTATGAAGCCTCAAAATTAGGATCTCAGGGAGAGAAAAATCGGGATTTGGTGAAAAAAATCGGGAT